CCCCCCCCCCCCCCCACCGTTACGTTACGCAGTTGAGTTTGGTTGGGCCAGGTCATGCTAATCTGTGTTAGTTTAGCATAGGTTAGGTTAGGTCACGACAGACTGGATTAGGTTAGGCAGTTTGGTTCGGTGAGGTTAATTAGATTGGGTTGAGTTGGGCTCTGATTATCACAGAGTACTTCACTGAGTGGCCGGAGGCATAAACTTACTACAACCAAAAGGCAACAGCAGTTCATGCCCCTGTGACAGACGGACGTGTTATATATCAGTGTCCATACAGAGCGGCATAGTCACCACACTAATGCAACAGGTATTTTATCCTCTGAATCTCCTGCCCTCTGTCGGGTGGCGCAGTGAAACAGAATGTGAAGACAGTTGAGCAACGCATATTTCCGACGCACCAAAGAGATTTGAACGAGAGAAATCCCATCTACTAGCATTGTGTCAACAGTATAGTTACGAGGGCGACGATCATGGTGTTACACTTTCAAAGACTTGGCGCCATATCTAGGTACTATTTGGGACGATCAGGCTTAAAAGGGCAGTGTCACAAGTGTTAGCAGTGGAAGCTTCGAGGCGCCCGTCAACAAAATGGATCCTCTTCCCACGGTGTTGTTTGATTCGTGGCCCTGAGAGCGTGACGTCATGTATGTTGAATTTATGAAGTGAGTTGTTGTTACGCCACAGAACAGTCTAGGTAAAGGCAACTTTTGCAATATATTAGTGCAGTCATGGTTTGTAGCAGTACGTAAAGTGTTAAGATGGTAAGAGAAATCTCTTTTTTCTGTGGTTTCAGTAAAGGAGGACATAACATTCATGAACCAAGACTTAGACAAGTGTTTCCAGTGTTATTTTTTATTCCTTACTGAGGAACGTGTTGTGTTGTAAACGAAAACATTTCTGATTATTACTTTGTGTGTAAATTCATCGCAACGACGCATTTAAAACACAAAAGTTATTATTCTGTCGTTTGATTCATTAATTAAAAATATTCCACTCTTAATTAACTTTAAAGACAACGTCCATTTTGTTGGAAATCGAAAAAGGAAGTGTTAAAATTATCGTTTTTTTTTTATTTATCCTGTTTTAATGGAGGTTAATCAAATATGATTGTGACATGCCATAGAAATTCGGAAAACTAGTCCCATAGTTATGAATATGTGAAAATCGTAGTGTAAAGAAAGCTTGCACCCTGTTGCATAGAATACTATAATACTTTGGATGTGGAGAATGAATTATAAACACTGACAAACTGAATCCTGACGCATCTCTCGTAGTGTAAAGAAAGCTTGCACCCTGTTACATAGAATACTATAAAACTTTGAATGTGGAGAATGAATTATAAACACTTACAAACTGAATCCTGGCGCATCTCTTTTTCAGGTGGTGTTGTTAGCCAGAAAAAGGAGGCATCTATTACTCTGTCGCCCCCGGACACTGAAGTGGAGAGCTACCTGTCCACTTCACACATCGTGTCATGTAAAAGTCCACGAGGAGTTCACATGAAATGGACTCGAAATGGCACAGAAGAAATCACAGCAAACAAGGGCAGGTATGACAAGTTATTCAATACTCTTTGAGTGCGTGGCCATTTTATTTTAAACGAGATATTCTCATAAGAAAGCGAAAATATGATCCAACTCTTTTGTTTGCAACAGACTCAAAATCCTTATTTGACTGGGCTTACAGGAATAATACATAATGTAAAAGAACTGATAATATTAAAATTTTAGATTTATTATTCAAGCATTATAATTAATTATGTCCTTGCTTCAGTTCATTACCGTTGTTAAATAGGATCTGAGTCAGTTCGGAGAGATTGCGCAGTGATATGAATCGTTCTTGCCTTCAGTTCGCATCGCCTCTTCGCTTTTAGAGACACACTGCGCCTTCTACTTCGATCTCTGCTACGAACTGTCCAAGCGTCAGCAATTCCTACTAATTCGTAGACGTGAAATAAACTGATCATGTGAATTCCGCTCGTCAGAATTCGTACCACACTAAGATACGCGCATACTCGTTCACTCAACGTACCCCGTGCTTCATGGCTGCTCGTTCCTTCAGGCTGTTTGTCCTAGGATATCTATGGAACTATCAGACCGCATGGCAGAATCTGGGTGTTCGCTTTGTCGGCCTTCGAGGATGATTCGGGCTCAGGAGACTTCGCTCCTGTAGTAAAATCAGACTTAGTCGCAATCCGACAATCTCGTGAAATTAGCCACCCCCGACCCCCGAACACCATGATGGTGGGCGTGGCTCTTGTAGTCTCGTTGATTGATGCTGTGTCGACCAGCAGGGAGGACGCAAGACTGTGCCCCAGAATGCCCTGGACAAAGCGATGTCGTCCTCCATGGTCTTTCTTAACAAAGTAGCCACATCAGGGCCGTGTAGTATTCTGGGACAGATGCGGAACACAGAACACAGTGAATCTTTTAAGGACTTGGCAGCGACTTAGCTGTGTGCCACGGAAAATATCCGGCTGTTAACGATATCAGACAAGTCCACCAGGTAGGCGTCGTGATGCCCGCAGAACTCATGAGTTAACCGAACGTCAACGGAGTGTTTTAGAGATCAAAGGGCTGAACTGTGATCTGCCACGCCCCGTTTGCCTTTGCAGAACTCGGATCTTAAAAGTTCAAGGTCAAACACCGCTTAAGTCCGGTGACGTATCAAGTTTGTCGTCCCTCAGTATCAGGAAACACTATTGCCTGTGTGTCTGCAAACTTCAGTCATCACTCAATGATTTGATCCTCCAACCCCTGGTCTTCTCCGATGTTCATTTCCCGCCATACGCTGGAGACCACACCTTTCAGTTACTCACAACCGCTCCGCACATTAGCGCATTCACCTGAACGGTCTGGGAGTGGGTTTCGTTTGTCGACAAGTCGCCGCCCATGAGGGAGTTAAAAGCTCAGTCTTTCAACTCCATCGAATCAGCAAATGTACCGGTAGTTTCTTTCTCTCTCTTAAGTCCGCGATTTCATCCCAATTGTGCACCTCTCCGATATACGAGGTGCGATCGAAAGGTTTCCAGACTGCTCGTATGAAAACCCGTACACTTATCTCAGGTATTAAATTC